TTTCTTCCGGGAGCAACTCGTAGAAGCAAGATTGGACCATCACATTTTTTCTTTTCAATGTATGCAACGTTCCATCTCAAATGAATGCACGCTTTCAATGTACTTTCCACTCCAAATTTCATTTTTCAGTAATAACACTCTAAGATTGTCAGGAACTGGTAGGAAAGAATCGATTGAAGGCATAATTAGATCACTCTCATTAGAGTGTTATTTGCCCCCACTACAAATTGCTGGTAGGCTCGAGCAAACCACCCCCAGGAGTCCCTTCAATTTTAAGTCTGGAAGCAGCAATCTTACAGACTTCTATGGTTATGAAATAGAGAAGGAACGGGAAGAAGAAGTAATCTTTCTCTCGTCATTAAAAGAGTTATGGCATTCCTCTATTTATACTTGTGAAAACTGGAAGTTATCTCCGAAGAGACACAACCTTTCACAGAAAAAATATAGTTACATTTCCCGAAAGGACACATCCTTTCTTAGAAAAAAGGTAGTTACCTTTTCCGAAAGAACACATCTTTTCATAGAAAAGAGAAACTACCTTTCTGAAATGATACCTATTTTCACAATATTCAAACGCTAATTAATTACTATAAAAATTAATGAATTAATTAAACTGCCAAAAGACTCAATTCTTATACTTTCCTTCTCCCATCAATGTGATATTACAACTCTATTGACTAACTCTAATAGTTTATCGCGATGCGAACAATGTAGCTGATTATCTTGCCTCGCTTGGGCATTCCTTTCTTGTAGGGATGCATGTTTTCAACGTTCCAGTGAGTACGTTGTTGTATTGACTGTACTTTGATCAGGTTGGGGTTCATATGCCATGTTTGATTTAATGCATAAAGGTTGGGGCACCCTTTAAGCGCTCCAATTTCGACCCAAAAAAACGAAGAAGAGAATGTGTACAAAAAGGTGACTCAGCAGCTCCTTGATTTTAGTTAATGATGAAATGGCAAAATAAAAAGATTCGATCCAATCCAATCTATTAGTCAATGGATAAATTTGTTGTCAATGGGTAAAAATTTATATTTATACACATTTAGTCGATTTTCACGGTATATGATGCTCTATTTTTCCTTTAATGGTATTCTTATCTCAATTCGGATACTGAAGGATATTTTACCTACTAAAGGATGTAACATCTTATTTTCTTCCCATAATATGTTAAAATATTTTGAATAATCCCAAAATAGAATATTACATAAAAATACGCCAACCTATTATTTTGGATTGCCTAAACACAAGTGTTGAAGTGTAAACCAATGGCGAGATTCTTCATGCCAGTTGTGAATCATATCCAATCCAACACCCACCCAAAAGTTAGATACAATTTGTTTATCCAAAGATGGAATATAATACTATATTAGACGATATTAATCATGCTTAAGAAAATTCCACAATAACGAACCTGCTACCCCATTGTTAACTGGCCTCATCTATCAAACGGCCTGTTTCCTAGGGAAAACCAAATGCCATCGTCGGTGTCGAACTTGGTTTCCGGCGATGTTGATTCGACGCTTTGCGGTGGAAACTCTTGTGGTGCCGTTTGATCTGATGCTCCGCTGATTGTTGAAATCGACGAGACCGTCAAATATCCACCGGGCGGTGTTGATTTGATCGGTGCAACTGACTTCTGAAAATGATGACGATCGTCAAATATCCACCGCCGTGCGATGTTGATTTGATCGATGCACCTCTGAATGGTGAAATCAACGTGACCGTCAAATATCCACCGTCGGGCGATGTTTATCTGATCGATGCACCTTTGACTTCTAACCAAGAATGATCGTTACTCGGTTCACACCTCTCCAAACAATGTTCGAACGAGGGTGTTTGAGTTTTGGGAATCTACGTTACGACTACTCCTATGGAGATTCATGTGGAGAGCTCCGGGACTACGACTACTTCTACAAACTATGGAGATCCTTACTAGAAGGAGAGCTCTGCGAAAGAGTTACAGAGAAAATGTAAAGTTTTGACAGAGTTGTTCTGTGTTGATTTTGGTTGTCCCTTTCTTTCTCCTTGCTCCACTGCTTTTATTCAAAAAATCGCTTCGTAGTCTTCACGCTAGGTGGAACCGCTTCCTCAACTGCTCTGTTGTGAACTCCCACGTGTCTCAACCGTCTTGATCTCCTCCTCGCTCGGGTTGGTGTGAATCTCACGCGATGTCGTTTTCTTCCCCAAACAGCTCTGTTTACTTTTTTACTCCACGACATTGTTTTATATTAAACACTGTCGTTTGCTAATACAATGGTACCGTTGGGCTTACTCGCGGTACCGTTTTTAATTAAATGACACCGCTAACATAGCCAAAAATTCCAATTCATTGAACCGCCGAGAGTTTCCACTCGCATTGGGCTGGGCGGAATTTAGGGCCTTCACTTACCCGATATGATTTTTTTTATTTAATCGGCACCGCTTATCGAGGCCTCTTGCGACATCGTTTTTCATCCGCGATACCGTTTTAATTCTCCGCGATGCCGCTTGTCTCCATTCGGTACCGGTTCTCCCCTTCCGACAAGTAATAAAAATAAAAATAACAATAACTCCTTTTCCAACACCAATACTACGCGCGCGGCCCCCATCCTGTTTTCTGGTAAACAGTGTCGTTTCCAGTGCCGCGGTACCAGTGAGCTTCCTTGTGGTACCGTTTTTTGTTTCGCGGTATCGTTTCAACTCACCGCGATACCGCTTGTCGCGGTGCCGTTTTTTGCCAAACGACACTGTTTCCCAGTCTCGCGATGTCGTTGAGCTTTGAGGTTCGCGGCACCGTTTTATCTCTTCGCAGCATTGCTTGACTCCAAACGGTGTTGTTACTATCTTCCTCCGACAAGGAAAAATAAAATAAAAAACATTCCTTATCCAACAGCAACACATGTCTTGCGCATGACTCACACATGGTCTGCAACCAATGTCGTTTCAAGTACCGCGGTACCGCCGAACCTCTTCGCGGTCTCGCTTAAATTCTCCGTGGTATTGCTCGACTCCAAACGACATCGTTTTGTCCATGCGATATCGAATTAAATGTCGAGACTCATTATTACGACATTGAATTTAGACAAAAAAAAATATTTTAGGTGTAAACAATGCCCCCCACAACTTGGTTTATAAGAATTTATGAACTATGTTGTTGACACAACTTCAATTACCTAAAATTTCTCCAACTCCGGTGAGTCAAGTTAAAAAAAATTCTGCTTATCAAAAGTAGGCCAACTTGGTATAATTAGCCTAGCCACATTAATTGTCCAAAGCTGTCGGCAAAACTGTTTTGTTTTTTTCCAAATATCCACCAGCAGCCCTACGATTCAACTCAGAATTTTTTTTTCTCTTCCGCAACCCTGCGGAGTGCCAATCTGCGGCTTGAACTTTCTTTCTTTTATATGTATATATGGTGGCGTCTTCGGTGCACTCACTTTTTTGGGTGCATTTAGTGCACTCGCTTCATAATCGTCATTTTAAACATGAGATTTGTGTCAAAATGATGTCAATCATCACTTATGATGTGATGAACAATAACGCACATGAATTTGCACAAAAACCATGAAAGATTTGCTTTAATTTGAAGGATTTAGAGTTTAAAGATCTAGGGCTAGGGTTATGGTTTACAGTTTGGGGTTTAGGGATAGAACTCAAAATTGGAGGTCTAGGGCTAAGGGTAATCCGCTAATTAGTTGTTATCATATGTTATATCATCATATTATACTAATTCTACAAATTAAAATTCAAAATCCGACTCCTTAAGAATAGTTTTTGAGTTGGGTGCATTGAACGCACTCATTTTTGTGAGTGCGCCGAAGTAGTCACCATATATATATATATATATATATATATATATATATATATATATATATATATATATATATATGGGTGGTTCTATCGTACCTTGGATAAAATCAAGGGTACGGTATACCTTGAGCAATAAAACACTATATGGACCTCGAATTTACCGGAGTTTGACATCTGGTATTAATCCCAAACCTTACAGATGAAACTCTAGGTCTTAATTCTATAAATCTTATACACTAAGATCAATTTAATTAGAAACAAAAATCGATGGTCATGATTTGTCGAAATATATGCAAAAAATTACATGGACAATTTTAGGGGTTAAGCTTTATAATTATGAAAACTAAGACCTAGGATTTACTCATTATGGGTTAGGGTATCGTATCATGCCAAAAAATCCGGTTAATTCGAGGTCTAGATAACGTTTTCTTACTCAGGGTATATCGTACCCTAGATTTTACCCAAGGTACGATAGAAGCCACCATATATATATATATATATTGGCAAAGGCTGGCGTACGTCAGTCGTACGCTGTACGCCTGTGTTCACACTTGGTTTTTACACTTCAATATATTTCGTCGAATCAGAACCATCGGTTATTATTTTTTAGATTAAATGAATCTTGTGGCTTGGGTTACAGAATTGGGGACTGGGGTTCACCCATTAGAGGTTAGGGTATAGTATCATGTTCAAAATTTCGGTTAATTCCTGCTCTAAATAGTAAAACTCGACGGGCGTACAATGTACGACTGACGTACGCTAGCCTGAACCATATATATATTGCAATGCTGTTACAAACTCCACAACGTTTTTTACATTGCAACCAAAACCCCAAATGGCAGCAAAAATTTGGCGGCCCTTTTCTTTTCATCCTCTCGCAACGCTGTTTTCTTAACGATTTTTTTTTACAGCATTGTGTATCCTTCCAACGATGTTGAAAAAAGAGAAAACAACACTGCTTGACATTTTGCATTATTGCCAACGATATTGTGGCTTCTTCTTAGCAATGTCGCTTGATTTTATTGTATAATATTTTCTCTATAACATATTAGGTGGCCTAATTTAGCCACGTTATTTATTAACAGTTAAATAAGAAACAAACTAGACTTTGGCATAAACCATCATGCCAAAAGTCCACACCCACTGCCAACTCCATGGATCAAACCAAACAAGCCATCCGTAAAGTCCATGATTCATCACAGCTGGCTTCACACGCGTTGGTTTTGATGTTTGGACTCAATGTTGGCTTGCAAATCCCCAGTTCGTCTAGCTCGAACATCTTTGTTTGAAACTCCATGATCCTGATTTGGCCTAATCTTAGCTTCGCGGACTGGAAAACCATAAGCATTCTTGTCTCTAAACAAGACATTCCCGTTTTTTGGCACCTTTGTCTTGCCAATTCGACCATGCAACATCGCTTGCCTAGACTGGTCTAGTTTTGTCAGCTTCGCACTCTCACCATGTTGTTGGTAGTATGAGCGTCGAGACTTTTCATCAACAGGTACGTTGGTATTTTTCTTAGCACGAACATGACTTTTGAACCTATCACACAACAACGTTGCCCCTTTTAAAATTCCACGTGAGTTTGGAGTTTGTTTGGCATTGGCCTTGCCCCCCAGACCACCACTAGTCATGGATTTGTTCCCAGCCAGCACTGGTGTGACAACCCCATGTCGGGTTTGATCGAACTTGCCCCCCTCTTGACTCAGTGGAGTTTTTGGGGACAATTTACATAGAGGATTCTGTTGATTCATGCCAACTTTGGTGGCATTGGGTTTTTTCACGTGGCTACCACCCCCATACTGCAAAGTTTTTGCGGCCATCCTTGTTTGAATTTTTCTAGAATGGGACAGATTTGGCAAACTTATTTGCCACTTGCGATGTTGTTTTTCCATCAACCGACCATGCGGTGGGATCTTATGCCCCCCTAGCGGCTTAGATTGAACACCATTGCGATGTTGCTTGGACAACCCATCATACGTGAGCTTGCTATGCTCAACGTGATTGTAACCAGGTTCTCGACTCTGGTTCTTGTTTTCAATCTTACTAGAAGTAAGTCGATACTGGCTTCATTGTAGTGACTTCTGCAAGCCACTTCCAACTGGTGTGTCCTTTAGAACAACGTTGTTCACAGGAAAGAACACATTGGATTCTCTCACTTCTGGCAACAATGTTGTAGCCATCGATGATGGAGTTTGGTTGACATTAGCTATTGGACCAACCATCGCATCCTCACACACAACAGACACGACTCGAGATTTAAACACATCAATATCATACGTGGCTCCCTGTATTGACATATTAAAATCAGAAATAGAGTCATCCAACATATCAAACCATTGATCTATGTTTTTTTCAAGATTATCCTTTTTTTTATCAAGACAAGTTAAAATTAGATTTACCTGTTGTCTATCTCTGCTGAGTTCAACCACTACTTGGCGGAGTATGCGCAGCATCTCACCCGGATCGGAGATTCGTGCCATTGATTGCACCTCTGCTCCAGCGTTGTTGCTTGAACCGCCATTGATTCTGAAAACGATGACGATCGTCAAATATCCACCGCAGTGCGATGTTGATTTGATCGATGCACCTCTGAATGGTGAAATCAACGTGACCGTCAAATATCCACCGTTGGGCGATGTTGATCTGATCGATGCACCTTTGACTTCTAACCAAGAACGAGCGTTACTCGGTTCACACCTCTCCAAACAATGTTTGAACGAGGGTGTTTGAGTTTTGAGAATCTATGTTATGACTACTCCTATGGAGATTCCTGTGAAGAACTCTGTGATTACGGCTACTTCTACCAACTATGGAGATCCTTACTAGAAGGAGAGCTCTGCGAAAGAGTTACAGAGAAAAGGTAAAGTTTTGACAGAGTTGTTCTGTGTTGATTTTGGTTGTCCCTTTCTTTCTCCTTGCTCCACTACTTTTATTTGAAAAACCGCTTCGTAATCTTCACGCTAGGTGGAACCGCTTCCTCAACTGCTCTGTTGTGAACTCCCATGTGTCTCAACCGTCTTGATCTCCTCCTCGCTCGGGTTGGTGTGAATCTCACGCGATGTCGATTTCTTCCCCAAACAGCTCTGTTTGCTTTTTTACTCCACGACATTGTTTTATATTAAACACTGTCGTTTGCTAATACAGCGGTACCGTTGGGCTTACTCGCGGTACCGTTTTTCATTAAACGACACCGCTAACATAGCCAAAAAATTTCAATTCATTGAACCGCCAAGAGTTTCCACTCGCATTGGGCTAGGCGGAATTTAGGCCCTTCACTTACCCGATATGATTTTTTTTATTTAATCGGCACCGCTTATCGAGGCCTCTCGCGCCATCGTTTTTACATCCGCGGTACCGTTTTAATTCTCCGCGATGCCGTTGTCTCCATGCGGTACCGCTTCTCCCCTTCCGACAAAGAATAAAAATAATAATAACAATAACTCCTTTTCCAACACCAATACTACGTGTGCGGCCCCCATCCTATTTTCTGGTAAACAGTGTCGTTTCCAGTGCCGCGGTACCGGTGAGCTTCCTTGCGGTACTGTTTTTTGTTTCACGATATCGTTTTAACTCACCGCGATACCGCTTGTCGCGGTGCCGTTTTTAGCCAAACGACACCGTTTCCCAGTCTCGCGATGCCGTTGAGCTTTGAGGTTCGCGGCACTGTTTTATCTCTTCGCAGCAGCATTACTTGACTCCCAATGGTGTTGTTACTCTCCTCCTCCGACAAGGAAAAATAAAATAAAAAACATTCCTTGTCCAACAGCAACACATGTCCTGCGCATGACTCACACATGGTCTACAACCAATGTCGTTTCAAGTACCGCGGTACCGCCGAACCTCTTCGATGTCTCGCTTAATTTCTCCACGGTATTGCTCGACTCCAAACGACATCGTTTTGGCCATGCGATATCGAATTAAATGTCGAGACTCATTATTACGGCATTGAATTTAGGCCAAAAATATTTTAAGTGTAAACAAGGCCCCAACAGGTACACATTGGAATATTGAATATCTCAAGCAAAAACAAAAATTTATCATCCACTACGATAGCTACTATACTTATATTTATATGTACAAAACCCTAATTATAGGGTGATCCATCCCAATAAACTGAGTAAACAAGATTTAAATGCCATCATAATAGCCACCAAATGTGACTTGAGCCCTTGCAATGGGAACCCCTCTCACAGCTGAGATAGCATCATTGAACCTTGTTGCATGTTAAACCACCTGCTTAATCCTCTGCACACATTAATCATAACTACCAATCAGTGTATTGGATAATCCTAAATCCTAATCCTAATGTCTTGACAAGTACTTGGCAATAAAACAAGAAAAGGCAGGGAGTCTCCTTTACTTCCTGGTGGTGGTTAAGCTAAGAAATAAGACCAAGTAATAGGAAGGACAAAAGAAATCATGTTAATCAGTTGTGGAAGCAATAAAATAGTGGAGCTTGTGGACAAACCATCCGTTTTATCTTTCAACACAGAAGAAGATCAATAAAATAATCATAATAACATGCTTAGAGTGCTGAGAAATTCAGCTTTGATCCAATCATCCTCTCTCCATATTACTTACTCAATACTCTGCATAACCATTTCCAGGTGGATCAAACAATTCAAAGGAAAATGGAAGGAACAATAAAGATGTCACTTGCCAGAACTACAAGTAACACATAACTTTCTTTCTCTATTTGGCCAATTTTCAGACAAAAGATTGAATTTGGAGTGTACCACAGCCGTTAAAGGAAGACAATCAACAATAATTCAACATTCCAAGCCATGGACACACACAAAGCTGCAAACTTGCATCAAGATGCCAAATTCTGCAGGATACCCTATACGATCTATGATCCCTCCCAATTGGGCAAATTGTGCAAGAAGGACAAACACTGATCCAAGAATAAGGACACAAGGGTACAGAAAAAGTACGAAAAGAAGCTAAAATTATCAAAAGGGAATTTCAGAATGGGACAAACCTTGTCATCAGTGTAAACCTGGAACCTAATCTGCTGCTCCCTCTTCTGCTGCTTGTTCCTCTGATGATTGCCAAAGATGATGATGCAAACAGTAGCAGCAGCAATCCCAAATGAACAAATGGCTCCAACCCCGTGCAAGCTCCACTTCCAAAGGTTCAAACCACCACCAGTATCACCATTTCCGCCACTACCCTCTACCCACCGAATTCCCTCCTTCTCCAAGCTTGGATCATTAGTATCACTACTGTCCTCAAAGCCAAACTTGCCAGCATCAAATTTGGGGGAGGATAAAAGGGATGACGATGAAGATGACTTGGTTAGGGACTTTGGTGAGTCCAGTTTCATGTCGACAAATTCATTCTCCGTCATCTTCTTGAAGAAAACTTGGGAAACGGAGTCCTGATCAGCAGCATCATCAGATCCGGTAAAGGTTGGAACTTTACTAACTTTTGGGATCACCATCATCGTCCTAGTACTGCGAGAATCTGTGAGCTGTTCCTCCTGTGGCGGGGTCGATTGATCTGTTGGTTCCAATTCGATGGGAAGCACCACCCTTGAGATTGAGCTCTTAGGTGGAGAAGATGGGCAGATGAAGTAATTCATGTCTAAAACAGTATAATTAGGGCTCATAGAAGAATAAGAAGGAGAGGAGGTAGAAGAAGAACCTCTCCTTGACGATGATTTTGCAGGGGATGAAACCCTCTTGCCACCGCCATCGTCACCGAAATCGAAGAAGCTTGTGTCTCGAGGGAGAACTTCCCACTCTTCCAGATCCATATCTCTTTCTTGATTGAAAAAGAAAAATTATGGGTTTTTGATGATCAGGGGATAAAGTGAAAAGGGTTCGGGCTATGAGATATATATACGGGAGCCAGAGGAGAAATTTCCGGGGGAAATTATTTTTAGATGGTGAGTGAGTTTAGACTTTAGAGTGTGGAACTTTTTTCATGGAAGGAAGAGCTTGGAGGCTAATGCAATCAGGAAGGCGTGTAGCTTAAGTGGGGGAGAATCAATGGCGGCCATTGTTGGGAAGAGGAGTGAAAGGAGAGAGGGGCAACTGGGTAAATTCTGTTTGCTGATAGTAAGCTTGATGGGAAAGAAAAGAACTGAAGAAGACAAGAAGAGAAGAGGTTGTCTTTGGGGGAGGACTAGGAGGTGGTCCTTCCTTGTGGGACCCAGTTGAGATAATTTCTTGCTTGATTGGCATTGTTACTATATTATATAATTTTATTTTAATATATGCTAAATAAGAATTAGTCCCATCTTGCTGTCCAATTGACAATTGTTGTTGGTTGTAATTTGTTATTTGTCGTGATGAAGGTGTATTTTCATTGAATGACATTAAATTGAAATTGGGGAGTGCATAGAATACATCTGATATGGGGACAAAATGAGATTCAAAGATTTTATTGAAGGTCGATACATAGAATTTTGTTGTGGCTTCCTTGTACTCAAATCCAAATTAATGGCATTATGATGTTCTTGGTTTTTATCAGTGTTATTAAGACCGGATCGAGCCGGCCAGTCGGACCGCTAAAGCCGCCACCCAACCGCGAAACAGGTTTGAGTAAGTCATTTAGCCGTTACGGTTTTATAGAGCGGTCGGCGAGCGATCGAAGCGGTTAACCGCTCGAACCGGTCGCTCGGTTTTCCCCTTCTGGTCGTTCTGTTTAATAAAATAAATTGAAGACGAAAGGCAAAATCGTGGGCCTAGGAAAGAAACCCTAACTCTAATTCAGTTTTCGTCTTCGACTCTTCGTGAACAGAGGGAGAAGAGCAGCACCAGACCCTGCCGCCGTCAACTCTTCCCGTCCTGACATCCTGACGGCATCCTCGCCATCCCCAGTCATCATAGCAGCTCCCAGCTCGCCATTGCCAGTCTCCGTCCCCGTCCCCTCTCATGAGCAACTCCTCCGCTCCGTCATCACTTCCCATCCCGGCGCTTCCCGTCGCCATTCCCAGTCCCTATAGCCGCTCCCCGCTCGCATGTTTTGGAATTGTTAAGAGTGTAATTTACTAATTTAGTCATGGTTTACCATGATTAAGAAGTGTCCACTATTTATACCGATTGTTTATTAGGTACCGTGTTTCTAACGGTTTTTAAATGGTTTAATGCCGGTTGAACCGCTAAAGACCGAGTCGTTCACATTATCGGGTCATACTCCGGTTCGCTTTTGACAACATTGGTTTTTATTTATTTAGGATAGAGTTGGGAACAAACCCTACTCAACAACTCCTCTCAAACAACTCGGACACCTTTGGTTAATCATTTTTGGGTCACTCTAGTTATCTTTAAAGTTAATCATTTCGGGTTACTCTAGTCATCCTTGAGGTTAATCATAAAAAACTGAAATCCTTTGATGTAAAACCTTTTTGAACTTAAAAGTGTATATCATTTAGAGGTTGAATTTTAAATTGTATGACAGAGGATAAAGAAATATTCAAGTGCAGGGCAATATAATGACATGTAAAATGTGTTATTTTGATACCTTATTTTATGGCAAGGTTTACACCAATTTACACATCTTTATTCTTTAGTCATTTTCACTAGGATTTGCTAGTGTGTTCTCAAATGTACATTTTATAGCTTCTTATGCTATTTTTCATATACGATTTCATCGAGTACAGGCCAGTAACGACTCATTTGGAGTTCAAATCGCCGAATCTTCGATAACATATAAGTTCATTAGGATTTCTTTTCTTTTCTGACGATTATCTTCCTTGTATCCCCAAAATCTGTACTAACTCTTGACTCTTGTACAGCTATATATATGGGGGATTTCATAGCTCGTTTCTCACCATCTCCCCATCTTCTGAAATCCATAACAGAACACCCCAGACCATAGAGAGTAGAGACAGAGGGATTGCGCCGAGCCTACAGACAGAGTCTAGTCCATCGAGGGTAAGGAGATTAAACTCGTGTCAACTTTTCTGGGTTAGTGATGTCTATACAGGCATGCATGCATGAAATCGAACTCTAATTCGATTTCTTTTCGTTGTTCACTCTTTTTTTGGCTAGGTTGGACTCGTTTGAATCGCTATTCGAGGACTGGATCGCAACAGACAGAGTGAGTGATCAGTGAGCGCTGAGCAGTGAGCTGTGAGCATCAGTCTACTGTCATTGGGTACTCGACAGTCCACAGAAAACTCAAAGCCAAGAAGAAGGTAATCCCGTTCTTGAGCATCCGACTATTGTCATTTGTCAGTGAGCTGTTTGTTCATTGTTGTGCGACTTGTTGTGAAAATCTACGACTTCATAATGCTAAGAAGTAAAAAGAATTAAACTGTAATCTTGTTTTTGCTGCAAGCTTGCAAATGATGTCTTGTTTGCTAGTTTAGTCTTGTTTTTTTGTGAATGTAACTAAATTAAATTAAGGCCTAATCTAATTAGTAACACATAAATTGATTATTGTCAGATGGAAGGTGCTATGAATGTTGAACCTGCTCCTAGTGCCAATGTCCCTGAAAATGTTGTCCAACCTCAACCTGAACAATCGGCTCCTGGTGCAATTAATCCGGTTAATGGTAATGATGAGGAGCAGGAAGCTCAACGTAAGTTAACCTCTAATGTGTGTCCTCACTTCAACCATGTTAGGATTAATGGGGTTATGACGGCTAGGTGTAAGTATTTTCGTAAACCCCTTGGTGGGGAAACCAGTAATGGAACTTCACACCTGAGAAAACATATCAAAACATGTATCCAGAAGAGGATACATGATGGTTCTCAAAAAATACTTGGCCCCAACTATCAACCTTCTGGAAATCCTCGACTCTCTGCTTCTCAGTACAATTATGAGGTTTCGATAAAGGAACTTTGTTCCATGATTCTGGTCCATGAGTACCCCCCTAGTCTTGTTGATCATGTGGGTTTCAAACGATTTTGTTGTTCTCTGCAACTTCAATTCGATTTTCCTAGCAGAAACACTGTAAAAAAGGACATTATGATTTTGTATGGTGTTGAAAGGGGTAAATATCATATCATTATTGATGGTAACCTAGGGAGGGTTTTAGTGACAACTGATTTGTGGACTGCCAGAAATCAGAAAAGGGGTTATATGGCAGTAACTGGTCACTTTATTGATAACTCTTGGAAGCTCCGTAACATAATGATGAGGTTTATGTATGTTCCAGCCCCACACTAGTGAAAGGCTTGTTGATAGGTTGTTTGATTATCTTTTGGATTGGAACATTGATGGTATGTTGTCCTCAATCACATTGGACAACTGTACCACCAATGATTCAATGATTTTCCACATGAGAAATAAGCTTCTGAACAGTGACTTGTTGCTTGATGGTAAATTGGTTCATATGAGGTGTTATACTCATATTCTGAATTTGATTGTAAGGATGGTTTGGATGCAATCAAGGATGCTATAAATTTGATTAGGGAGAGTGTAGTTTACTGGAATTCTACACCTAATAGGGTTCAACCCTTCTTCAAAGTTGCTAAGCAACTTTGCCCCGTTCACTTGCCATTTCGTTTTCTATTTTCTAGTGTGACAACAAAAATTAAGAAACAAATGATAAAAAAGTGGTTCACTTGCCATTCCATTTTCGTTGGAAAAAACAATGAGGCAGCTGAGGGAAAACGATAAAATTGTGTTTCCTGGAAAACTTGGAGCGGGTTTCTCCCCGTTTCCTAGCGAGAAACGCTCTATTTTCATTTAATGAGTCATGGTGTTCGAATCCCCTCAGCGACCAAACGTTCTATTCTTTTCTTTTTTTTTTCCTTTTGTCAACTAGACCAAACGTTGCCGTTCGCTTCTGCAACCCTAGTCCCATCGATCGACTTCATCTCCCCACCCCATCGAGCAAAGTTGCTGCCTCCCCAAACTCGACTTCTTTTCTCCAAAGCTCCAGCCAGTCCGCCTCTTCCTCCTCCTCTCTAGGCAGCGGACGAGAAGTCAACAACAAATCCTCCTCCGCGCACGGCCGAACAAGAAGCTCCAACCGGCGATCGAAGTTCCATCATACGAGCTTCTCCTCTAGCTGTTTTGGCATTCGGCTCCCTTACATAGAGAGTCTCATCGTTCGAGCATTGGTTTGGATAGGAGTAATGGCGGCGGAGATGGCGGCGGCAGCAGTGGAGGAAGTGTCGATCCGTCGACGGTAAGATCAAATTTGGTGTATACAATCAATTTGTAGCAGGAATCGAAGTGCTTTGGGATGGATAACGATGATTGATGCTTACAATATACAATTCTATTCAAAAGCGCTCCTCATAATTAACTGAATGGGGATGTTTATATGTTGTCTCCCGACCCTTGCAAACATTCATTATATATTAGAAGTCAATTTTGGTCATTATGTGCTCAGTGCTATTAGATGAGATATGCATGTCTAATCTTCTCCTTCTTTGTTCTTTTTTCTTGTCTTGGGTCGTATAAGTTTCATTGAAAATAAATCGAATTATATTAAAAATAATAATCATGATTAAAGTTGTATGATACTCAATGAAAAAATTGTGGTAATTAAGTATCGAAAAACATAATGTAGCAACTAAACAGGTTTTCATTTTCAGAATTCATTTTCAGTAGTCACCAAAAATCTCAGCTAAACAAGTTTTCTGTAGGTTTTATTTCTCAGAAAACAACAACCTCATTTCTGTGGTTTGATTCGTGATTATCAAACCAAAGCTGAGAAGAAATCTAGTTCTGAAAATGGAACTTCTTCTTCTGGTTCTGGATCTGCCTCTGCCACTGAAATTGACTTTGAACTCTTTGTAAGTCAAAGGAAAAAGAGTAAGAATTCCTTGATTACAACTGAGTTGGATATGTATCTTGCTGAGGATATCATTCCTCGGACAACAGAGTTTAATCTGCTCTTGTGGTGGAAATGGCAAGTATCCGACCTTGCAATCAATTGCAAGGGACTTTCTGGCAATCCCTATTGCTTATGTGCCTTCTGAGAGTGCATTTAGTTCTGGTGGGAGGTTGTTAGACCCTCACCGGAGCAGGCTGTATTATTCGACTGTGGAGGCAATGATGTGTACTCAGAGTTTGATAATTGAGGACATGCAACGAGGTAACATGCTACTAAAACTCTCAAGTTCATTGCAAGGTTATTGGTTTAAGTTTTAACAATAGTATCAACTCATTCAACTGGTTTTCTGCAGATTCGGAGGCTGCTGTTGAGGCATTGGAGGGACTTTTCTCAGCAATGACAGTCGAAGATACAACTGTGGAAGAGGCAGAACCTGGTGGTAAGATCAATATATCATTATTCCTTAGTGTGTTCTATTAGTTCTTTGTATTACTTCATTGAGGCATAGTTACATTTGCATTGTTTCGCTTTTTCAGGTCTAGAACTCACCTTAATGAGATCACCATTTGCCCATGAAGACTGATTGGTTATCTACTATGGGACCAAGGTAAATGTCTTCTTTATTTGTTGATGCATACGTGTATTCATTTAGTCTTTACTAACTGAATCATTCCTCTTGTGTGTTCTTTATTCAGTTTCAATTGACGTCTACTGGTCTGCTGGTTTACATCGATTGGAATGAGGTTCAGGGGTGGTCGGGTGGATGATTGCTCAATGATTCGATGTTGCTGGAACCTGAATGGAATGTTGTTGCGCTGTTGTTGCTTGCAGCTATTTCAGTCTAGTGTTTTTGGATAAGAATTAGACATTTAGATTTTAGAATTTAGACTCGGTTGATACTTTTTGGTTGTTTGGTTCATTTGATCATTTCTATCACAAACACGGAAAAAATGTTGTTTTTGGTTGTTGTTGTTGAGCTGCAGGCGTTAATTGCAGGTTGGCAAGCTTTCGTTTGTTTTTTTCAAGTCTTTATGACATATCAGTCAGAGTATGAATAAAGTGTCCAGATTTCCAGAATTTTTTTTCAGTTTCAATTTTTTCATGTTTTCTTAGCGGGTATAACGGACTCGTGGGCACCCGATTACCCATTGGGGACGGGGGTGGTTATCCAACCAGACTCGCATGTTCGTTTGGGCTGGGGACGGGGAAACCCGAGGCCCATGGTGGGTGGGCAACGGATCCATGGTACCCGACCCCGATCCGCGCCGTTG